AAAAAAAAAAAAAAAAAAAGCAGTATTGAAAGTGCAGGACTTCAAAGTAAAGTGCTGGAAAGTAAGAATAATAAGTGTAGGACTTGAATTAAACATATTGAAATTGCATTACATGAATGTAAAGATATATGAATATAAGGAATTGAAGTGTTGTTTTGCTGTGTGATTTGAACAGGGTTTGCAAACTAACTCTAAGTGTTCTATTTATAGAGCTCCATGCATGCATCAACTTGAAGTGGCAACTCTAGAGATTTCCACGTGGCCAGATTCTAAACTACCAAGTGTCCCATAATCTCTTGGCAGTTGTAACTTCTTCCTTCTATCTTCTCCCTTCTCTGTTGCAGACTTCAGCCATGCCTCCAAGATCTCAATTTATGGGTAGTTCTTGCAATATATTTTTCACTTGGTTTCTCCATAGGTTGACTTGTGTCCCATGTCTCCATGTTTTTCTTCTCCCTACCGTAAATATCTCTCCCTCCAGACACGATTTAACTAGACTTGCCCTCCATGCTTTATGATAACTTCCCTTCAGTTGGTAGTAGCAGTTGCATGAAATACCACCACATTCAACTATCATATCCTTATTTAGCCAAGTGTCCCATGAGTCTTATAATCTCATCCTTCTTTAAACTCCTTCCCTTCCTCTAATTCCATATATAAATGAGTGTATATAAGAATAATTATAGACCCACGTTCCCTCTTTTAACTGAACTTTCCTTCTTGAATCTTCTATAACATGGTAGCCTCTTGAATTTTAGCGTCTTCTTCATCATGGACTATACCTGACATAAATATATATGTATAAATATATATATATATTTATGGATACAAATCATCCCATACTATTTTCTTCTGTATACCACACCTCCTTGATTTTAGCTTTTATCATGGGTTGTTCTTTCTATAAATTGATATATCATCCTCCATATTGGATAATCATGTCTCCTTAATTTTAGCAGCTTCCCTTCGCCATAAAATCCTTCTTCACAGCAGTTACTTCATCATGGGCCAAATCTGATAAATATATATATATATATATATATATATATTATAACGAATTATTATCGAATTAATTCAATCATAATTTATATCCGATTTGTTTAGTTAACGAATTGTCGAATTCAGGTCGTTAACAAATTATCGGATTAAATCTTCAATCCATATTAGAATCAAAATGGCAATCCATTCACATGTCTAGTGTGATGACAATGCCACTAATACAATCATTAAAAGTCCTTAGCAAGTCAATTCTTGAAATTGATTTTTCCCTCGTATACACCTTTAATTGAATATAGAAGTTTAGTTTTGTTTTAGCATATCACTTTGTCAACAATTTTATAAACGTCAACTTTTGATTTGATCACATCCACATTGATGATTTTGACCTTTTTACCAAAGCTTCCGGTCTTTGGGGTTCATTCGTGTGGTCAGGTAAGACACTAATGCAAATTAATTACTGGCCCAGTTGTTAGAGCTCAGCTTTCAATGTGTTCAGATTTGAGCTCTCTCTCTCCTTAATTTGTAAGGACAAAATTAAAAATAATAATAATTAATTACTTCGGTAATAATTTATGAAGTAATAATTTATGAAACAAAATCCACTTATGCGTTATAGGAGAATCTGTACCATCTGGTGAGTTAAAATGACAAAGATTGAAAATTAAGAAAGTAAAATTTTTGTATATACATACACACATACATATATGATACTTTGAAATATATGTTAGGAAAATATTAAAATGCTAGTAAGAAAAAAGTTGAAATATATTCTAAGAAAATGTTATGACGCAAATTTAACGTCCTAATATTTTCTTAACATGTATCACAGACAAAAGAAAGATATTAATAGTGGGATGCTGATCAGAAGAAAGTTGGAATGTATATTAAAAAATTGTTAAGATGCTTAACATTTTCTTAACATATATCCTGAACATGATAAAGATATGAATAATGGGATGCATGAGAAAGTTGTGATGTATATAAAAAAAATGTTATGATGCAAGCCCAACGTCTAAAAGGCATTTCAAACAAGATAAAGAGATGAATAGTAAGATGTAAATAATAATAAATAATAATTAATTACTTAGGGCAATAGTTTATGCACTGGGGAGGAGTATAGGAAAGAAAAACCGTTTGTGGTGCTTGAGCAACTTTTTCTTTTCTCTACCAGTCTGGAAGCCTTCCTGGATTAGAAGGTAGTTAGAAAGTGACACTCTGATTTTCAGTCCCATTGATTTGTGGCATTCTTCAACTCTTGGAAAATTTGCACTCACAATTTTGAATTTTTGCAAAAATTCAAAAAAAATTTGTCAATCTGTTATCCATCCCAGGGAAAAAAAATTAAAAAATAAACCTAAATTTTGACCTCAGACAAATCCGCGTTTACTGTTTGTCCAGGCTTTTACCAGTATAGTGAACAATGACCCCTAATCCAGATAGGATATTTTATTTCTGGAAGCAACAACCTAATTTCATGGTGTTGTTAGAACTACCATGACAGTTGCCATTTTTATACTATTAATTATACGCCTGCTTTTGTTGAAAATCAAATTTCTGTACCAACTGTAATTTTAAATTTAATTCCAATCAACAGATCATAACTCTCTTAATTCGGTATTGACTGTGCAAGTAAAATATATCTAAACGATGTAATAAGCAATTAAGCATAAATACATATTTTAATATGATTTGCCAATTATTAGGGGTTTAAGACAATCAAAAACCTCCGCCAAAGTAGGAGACTGACCAGCAATTTTTTTCCACACACAATAGAGAAAAAAGATTATAAGGTTGAAATATTGCAGTGATTTTAATATTTAATTTGTATAATTTTCGGATTCGTGTCCTACAATCTTGGATTTGTCTTTTGTCTGTATACATTGTAAAGAAAATTAGATTTTCTGTTTTACCTTCCTTCCCATTCCTATTCCCATTCCCTTCTTCTTTCCTCACAAAACGCCAGTTTGGTTGCCCAGAAAATATGGGAAAACAAACAGTGACTCAACTCTATTACTTCTGGTTTGATCCAAACTTTAAGATTCAACCTCAAAAAAAAAAAAAAAAAAACTCCTATATATTTCAAATTTAGTAAATAAGTACCTTTTATGAATATAAAGATTGAAATACCTTAAATGCTCTTAAAATAAAAATAAAAACATGGATTTTAATTTTTAAAAATATTTAAAAAAAATTTATATATATAGAAAAAAAATTAATCAAAATTAACAAATAATACATATTAAAAAAGTAATTTGCACATATTTTTAAATATTAAAAATTTATATGTACACAGCAGAAGTGTTTTTTTTTTGTTTTTTTTGGGTTTTTTTTATTTAACAAACTTGTGAAATTGCTACTGCTAATTTAGTAGGAAATCCAAATCACCTTCTCTTCTGCTCTCTGCTGTCAGTGAATCCTCCCCCAATTCAATTAGTTGTACCACCCACCTACCCCCCAAACCCTAACACTAAATTTAGTAATCAGTTGGTCAACCCCAAAACTGCATCACTCCCTCTCTATTCAAAGATCGATGACGAGCTTCATCCTCAAGCCTCTCCTTCCATGGAGGTACATTCAATTCTCAATAATTGCTAATTCATGCTATGAATTCCTAATTAATCTCGTTTTTTTTTAATATTAAGTTTTGTAATTGTTATCTTCTAAATTCAACACTCTGCTTGATGATCGAACCATCACCCAGCATAGATGTAAATCACAGTGTACAGAATATCAGACACACAATTGTTCTTCATTATTAATATTTTTTATCAGCTTAAACCTTCTTTTTCTTCTAAATCTAATTACATGAGTAGTCATTTTTTCTTTTCTTTTTTTTAACAACCTTCTTTAAACTTAAATAGTGAAAAACTTGTAATTTTTTATAATAATTAAAAAAAAAATTTCATGGTCAAATTCTAGAAGGATGGGACTTCATCAGCAGTGACAACGGGAGCTGTGAAAGATGAAAATGTTTCATTGTCACAATGTGGACACGTGACTCTTGTTCCTGAAGAAAAATAGGACAATGCCCTGCATTACATTCCAAACCCATGACACGTTAATGTCATACCTTGGCCGCCACCACCATGTACCGACTTACTGTAATATTGTTTTTGAATTTTGATGTTTTTCTAACCAATAAACACTGACCAACTATCACACGGCTATATATATATATATATCTACACACTCTTCTAAGATTCCCCTAATTCCATAGCTATATGCAGTGGGGTCAACACTACCTATTTTAAAGTCGTCTTCTTTTGAGAAATAGAGAAGTCGGTAGCATTTGGTGCATGACCAATATCATATTGTAACATCAATTTTCTGAAATAGTATTTAAGTATGGTTTTGGACCTACAGTGAAGACTTTGATTGTGCTCCCCAACTGTCTTTATAGCATTTGATAATTGGAAATGAGTAAAACATTTAAAATTAGAGGTCACTTGTGGAATATATTAGGTACAAATACAACAATGATTCCACTGCACATGGGTTATCTTCATATTGTTTACTTTTATTCAATTTCTTTATCATATTTTATACCTAATCATATAAAATTCAACTATTGGAAGTTTCGCAATGTAATACTGTATCACACGATTCATAATATATTAAAATAATAATATTTTTTTTTATCAAATAAAATATTTTACGTCTTTTTATAAATATTTTTAAAATTTTAAATTTAAATATTTAAAATTTAAAAAAATAAATTAATAATTATTCAGTAAGACAAGACATGTCTTATATATATTTTTAAAAATTCTTATTCAATAAAATAAGATATGTCTCATATGTCACCTTCAAAGTTCTTACTCTCAGGTGTATGGCCAGAGGAGTATACAAACAAAAACTCACATCACTTACACTGTATTCCATTGAAGGGCTCACAGCCCGCGTTGTTCAGTAGATGTAGTGGGCCCGCGTTGTTCAGTAGATGTAGTGGGCCCCAACACAAAATTCATACCAATCAAGAAATGGTACCCTCATGAGAAACCTTCCTTGATATTTACAAAACAAGGTCCGTGCTTCTTAAAGCATATTTATGATCTATTGTAATTCTAGACTCTGTCTTACTTCAGATAGAGAGATGATGAGCTATAGTTACAGAAACCCAGCTAGGGTTTATCTTTGTTCATTCCTATTTATTTCTCAAATTCTTGTTCCGTTTTCTCAAGCAGCCAACAATATCACACAAGGCCAATTGGTGAGAGATGGAGAAACAATTCTCTCTTCAGGTGAAAACTTTGTATTGGGTTTTTTTAGTCCTGCAAATTCAACATCTAGGTATGTTGGGATATGGTACAACAAGGTTTCTGAGCAAACAGTCATATGGGTTGCCAATAGGGAGAATCCAATCTCTGGTAAAAATGGAACCCTAACAGTTGGGAATGATGGAAATCTACTGATTTCAGATGGAAATGGCAATTCAATCTGGTCAACTAATGCTTCAATTTCAGGAAATTCAACTGCAGTTCTTCAGGATAGTGGTGATCTTGTTCTCAACAATGATACAAATCATGTTTTATGGCAAAGCTTTGCTCGTCCAGCGGATACATTTTTACCTACCATGAAGGCATATGCAAATGACCAAATTGGGGAAATTCGCGGCTTCACTTCCTGGAAAAGCCCTAACGATCCTTCGCCTGGAAATTATTCAATGGGTATTGATCCTCGCGGATCGCCACAGCTAGTGGTGTGGGAGCAGAACAAGAGGAGGTGGAGGAGTGGGCAGTGGGATGGTCAAATATTTATGGGTGTTCCTAGAATGAAAGCTCTCTATTCCTATGGTTTCAAGCTCAACAATGATGCAGATGGTGAGTACTTCACTTACACAACATTGAACACTACTCATATTGTGAGGTTTATGATTACATGGGATGGATTTGGAGAGCAGCTTTTTTGGGATGAACCAAACAAGAATTGGACTGTACTCCAGAAAGAGCCTTCAGTGCAATGTGATGAATATAACAAGTGTGGGAATTTTGGTTTGTGTACTGTGGGAGCTTCTCAATTTTGCACTTGTATTGAAGGGTTTGAAGCACAGAACACAAGTCAATGGAATAATGGAAATTGGTCTGGTGGGTGTGTTAGGAGTACCCCTTTGCAGTGTGATAATAGTAGTAGCAGTGATGGGTTTTTGGCAGTTGAGGGGTTGAAGTTGCCGGATTATGCTGATATCGTGAAGGCGAAAAACACAAGCGAGTGTCAGACCAAGTGTTTGACGAATTGTTCTTGCATTGCATATGCATACCTAGATGGGATTGATTGCCTGATTTGGGGTGGTGATTTAGTTGATGTTGAGCATTTACAAGATGGTGGGGGAACACTATACGTGCGCGTTGCTCAGTCTGAATTAGGTAAGATGATCATCACTGCTGTTGTTTTTGGTCTTAATTTTGAGTTTAATCATAATTTTTCGTTCTGATTTTTTGCCTTTAATCTTTTATTAGTTTCTCTTTTGCTTGCTGTTGATCAATTTCTTCTATGGATAGGATACAATCAAGGAAATCAGGATAGCAGTACCGTACCATTTAGGGAGTGAGATGAAATGTTGCCACTCTAGCTACAAGGGTTTCGGGCACAGAATAAACTGAATTGTGATTCTGTAGGCTCAACCCTTGTAGCAACTAAATACTTAATCTCCAATAACAATATTCAAGATCCAAGTATGAATAGTTTCTTTTGCTTCTCAAAAATGATTTTTCTAAATATCAAGATCTAATTCACATCATGGATATGTCAAAGATAGAACCTAGGATAAACGTACAGTATAAAGAACTTGAGTTCTAGCTAGACAAGCCTAGTAAAACTCGGTTATAACGCACAGATAAGCTTATTTACCAACACAATTCGACTCCACAACTATATTTTCTTTACCTATATTTGTCTGTGGAATCTTGTAAAAGTTTTAGGCTTCATATATAACATAGTAGTTCTGAACTTGTAACTTGCTTCTCATCATTTCTAGGTGGTAGTAGCAGAATATCCAATCTTGCGATAATAATAACGGTAGTATCTGTAACAATCTTCCTGATCATATCCATTTGGCTACTATGGAGGTCCAGGGCAAAATTGAAAGGTAAAATTTCACAGTTCAGCTAATGGAAACTGCTTTTAAGTTCTTGTTATTATCTTTTTTAATGTCTGACTTTTTCTTCTAAAATTTACCTGCAGCATTATCAAAATCATGGGGGAAAAGCCATGATTTTTCAATATTTACTGCAAGTAAAAGTAAAGAATTTTCAACAGATTTTTCGGGACAAGGTGACCTAACTATTGATGGGAAGCAGGGCAGTGGATCAGATTTACCATTGTTCAGTTTCAATTATGTAGATGTTGCCACAAATTATTTTGCACTTGAAAACAAGTTAGGACAAGGGGGATTTGGTCCTGTATTCAAGGTATATTATGCTGTTGTAAATTTTATATAAAGCATATTTGCTGTAATGAAAGTTGTGTTGCAATGTATATAAACAAAATTTATTCAATTTTCCAGGGAACACTACCAGGGGGACAAGAAATAGCTGTAAAGAGGCTTTCAAGGCGGTCTGGACAAGGCTTGGAGGAGTTTAAGAATGAGTTGATACTAATTGCAAAATTACAACACAGAAATCTCGTGCGACTGTTGGGCTGTTGCATTGAAGGGGACGAAAAGATACTGGTTTATGAATACATGCCTAACAAAAGCTTGGATTTCTTTCTTTTTGGTAGGTTTTCAGCTCAATTACAACTTTCTCTTGTTCGTATCTTATTTGTTCAAGCATGAAAGGGTACGAGTTGACATTGGCAATTTGATGATCATCATGGCAGATCCCGCTAAGAAAGCACAACTAGATTGGAGGAAGCGCTTTACAATAATTGAAGGTATTGCACGGGGAATTCTCTATCTTCATCGGGATTCAAGGCTCAGAATTATTCATCGAGATCTTAAAGCTAGCAACATACTGTTGGATGAGGAGATGAACCCGAAAATTTCTGACTTTGGCATGGCCAGAATATTTGGAGGGACCGAAAATGAAGCTGAAACAAACCGAGTTGTTGGCACATAGTAAGTATCATTTGCTCTCATGATTGCATACAGTTCACCCACTTAAACAAATGGACTAATTATTTTCTATTAAATCACTTCTTGCCAAAAACAGTGGCTATATGTCACCTGAGTATGCAATGGAAGGACTATTCTCTGTGAAGTCTGATGTTTATAGCTTCGGTGTGTTGCTACTAGAGCTTGTAAGCGGCCAGAAAAACAATACTTTTCGCTCGCATGAATGCTCAAACCTTATTCGATATGTAAGTTTAAAATTTTCAGTAGATCACATAATTCTTCTGCATATAATTAGTAAATTGGAGTTGTAACAATAGGATCTAAATGATTTCAGGCATGGAAACTATGGAATGATGGTAAAGCGAAGGACCTTGTAGATCCTTCGATTGTGGAATCTTGTTCTGAAGATGAAGTTATGAGATGCATACATGTAGGGATGTTGTGTGTGCAAGAGTCTGCAGTTTATAGACCAAACATGTCTGCTGTGGTATTAATGTTGGAGAGTGAAAGTACAAATATGCCAACGCCTAGACAACCCAGGCTTGCTTCATTGAATACCTCCGGAGATACGGATATCGAAGAAGTTGAAGGTGAAGGTGAAGGTGAAGGTGAAGGTGAAGGTGAAGAAGTTGAAGAAGGTAATGATAATGATATTACATCCTCAAATGACGTAACAGTTACAGAATTAATAGGAAGGTAAATTTTGTTTCCCTTTTTTTGTAGTACTACATAATTTGTGGTCTTATATGGACCATTTGTATGAAAACAACATTTGTGGTGTATTTTGGATTATGAAATATAGTTTGTATACCAATTCCACGTGTACATGTGAACACATCAATGAAGTTATTTGATTCTCATACTCCAATTCAAGGACTATGCAGGGAATATGATGATGCATTTTAGTTGAGAAGTACCAGAATATCTTGGTACCTGGTGTCACAGTAGTCACAACTTATCACCAAATTTTCACATTTGTGATGGCATAAAAGGTCATTTTGTAAACTGTGGGAAGTTTGAGTAACAAAACAAACACTTTTGAGTATAAATATTGTCAACTAATTATGCTTATGCCCAATCCTTCCCTCTCAGAAATAGTGGACGGTATAATAATTCCCATGTAGTAATAGTTTTTTGAAAACTAAAGCACTTTTGACCACCACTTTTGTTTTATCTTTCATAAAAATAAAAATAAAAAATGTTTTTAAAAAATTAAGTTAAAAAAAAGGCCTGATTTTAAAAAACGATCTTGTGTAATTTTTGAAGAACATTTTCTTCTTTTAGAATTTCTAAAAATTTTCTTACAGAACTGAACCAAATTGGTATTGCAAACTATCCATTTAAAGCCCAATTTCTTGTTTATTTTACTTATTATTATTGTTTATTTTTTCTTTTCTTTTCTTTTTTTCCTTTTGAGTAACAAGTTTTCCAGGTTTTACAAATTATAATTATAGTTTAAAACCAAGATCAAAGGTTTTCAAGATAGCATCTGTAAGACCTTGCCATCCATTTGAGGATTCTAACAGTTATTTTTATTATATTAAATGCATTAACAATTCAACATTGAGACTCAGGCAACCTCAAAGAATAGAAGTAACAAAAATAAATTGAATAAAAATTTAAATGACCCCGGTTAAAAAAAAAAAAAAAACAATTTCTCTCTCTCTCTCTCTCTCTCTCTCTATATATATATATATATATATATTAAATATATTAAAAAAAATTCTATACCAAAAAAAAAAAAAAAATTAATGATTTTGCACAGAAGGCCATGAATTATAAAAAATAGGACTTTATTTCCGGAATTCAAATTAACCTCCAAAAAAGTTGTACATAAGACCAACATTATAATTATTTTCATTCTATCCTATCGAAAGGATAGATAAACCCTAGAAATTAGTTTCTCTCTCTAGAATTCATTTGTGATTTGATTCTAATTCCAAGACGCTCGAGAACATATTTCATCAATTTAAAGGTATTTCTTTTTTTTAACTTTGCTCCTTTTGTTTATTAATCTCGACTTTGTTTTCTTATTAGTTTTTTATATTTCTCTCTCTGTATACAATATATATATGGGTTTGCCTATATATTCCCAACCCTAACTTTTCCATTCACGTAAAGAACTCTGAAACCAAATCCTTAGGCATAAATTTCAAATATGTGTAGCCTTTTTCTAATTTCAGTTTCATAAACACAAATTAGGAACATCCCCAGTTTTTTCTTCAATTTTTTGAAAGACCCGCATATTAAACGGTGTCGTTTTGGTTTTGCACTGGGTACTTAAATGCTTTTTTGAGATCTGTTTGGGTAATGGCATTACGCGGTTGGATGCTACACTTATAGTGTCTCAACCCTCTCACTAATGTAAATATTGTCGGTACACATTTCTCTCGTGGAACGTGAAATGTCACATATGTCATCTTTCTTGCACATTTTCAAATCATTTTAATCAATTTTCTCATTTTATCTCTAATGGGTCCTACTCTACCATCTCACGGGAATGTTTTCTTTTTCAATTTTATTATTTCTTTGTGCTTATGCTAGCTGCCCAAATTTCAATCCAAAAATGACTGGTTTAAAAACTTTCATTTCAATCTTAAAGGGATACATTAATCACACAATATTGAGGTACGCTCCTCCAATTAAGTCATCCAACCTTGACATTATATTTATTTCTCTTTCACTAAGAGTAATTAAGTTCTTTTTTTTCCCTATGTGAATAATAAAGTTCAAATACCTAAATTGTTCATTTTTTTGGCATGTCTCTTATCTTTACTACATCTCTATTTGCTTTTTTTTTTTATATATTCACTAAACTTACACTCAGGGCCGGCTTAATCCAATTTGAGGCGGAAAGCTAAATCACTAAAGTAGGCCTTTTCACATTAAATATATTGATATTATAGTAATAAGTTTTATTTAAAATTTATGCTAATTGCAAAAAGTTCAAGGAAATATAAAAACTCTCTATTTACGTTCTTTGCTTAAAAGAGAGTGATTTAATATTGATGTCTAATAGAGTCAATGAGTTATAAAGGATTACAATTTCTTAGAAACCAAGACCTGTCTTACAAAAATTTCCTTAAAGACCATGATTTACTTTGCAAGAAATTCCCATAAATGCTGACTTTAAAATGAAAACCTAATTTTAATAGCAATATAAGCCACAATTCCTAACATGGAAGAGCAATTGTATTTATTTGGTAATTAATACAATAAACGAGCATAATTAATACATTAAAATATATATAATTAATATAATGAAATCACTTTTGTGGCCATTTTCTCTCATTGTAGGCCTTAGGCGGCTGCCTTAATTGCCTTAAGGTTGAGTCGTCTCTTTGAGGCCTTAAGCAAAATCTCTAAATTTTGTCTTCTCACACTAACTATATTAATACAATAGTAATAATTTTTATTTGAAATTTATTCTATCAATAAGCTCAAAGAAATATAAAAAAACACTATTTACATTTTTAGCTTAAGAGATAGTGATTTAATATTAATGTGTGAGATTGATTAGTCGGGGCAAAGTCCTGGACACCCTGATTGCCAAAAAAAAATAATTTGATGAGTTAGAGAATTAATAAGTTACAAGGTCCAAAAGAAATATGAAGTTGAACAAGTTTTGATATGTTAGAGAATTTAAAAATTAGAAGAAAAAAAGTGTGAGATTGTTGAGAAAAAATAACTATAAGATAAAACATTTTAATTAAAAGAATTGTATAGACAAATGGAAGTGCAGTTGTATAATTTGTATTTATTTGGTAATTACTATGATAAACGAGCATAATACATTAAAAAATAAAAGTAATATAATGTGATCACTTTTGTGGCCTTCTACCTAGGGATGTCAATTTTTACTGTCCCGCTCCGTCCCGCCCCGTTAATAATAGATATGAGAATATTTTTTATATCGTTGAGGCGTGCATGGATACAAATTTTGTACCCGTCGCTGGTCACGGGGTGGGTAAGGATTCAGTATACATGTCCTAAGGGCCCGGCCCCGCTCCGCTAAGCATATAACTATATATATATATATATATATATATATATATATATATATATATATATATATATATATAATATTAATAACTTATTTTAGCGGCTTACCTAGTTACCCATCTCTTATAATTCTAATTTTGGATATAAACTTGGTATTAAATTTGCTTTTGTTTTGATTATGGTTTTGTTTTGATTATGGTAGAAGTTGGAGTTTAGAACATCTTGTGATTTGGTTGTATTAAATTTTTATTTTTGTTTATTATGTTATCTAAATTATGTTATGTGCATGTTATTTTTCTATTTTTGTTGGAATACATAATTTTATTTATGTTGTGTCATTCCTAAGCTTTTCACATTTAAATAGCAGGAGCTTAAGTTCCAAAAAGTGGGAGAAAAAAATTTGTTAGCGTGGCGGGCACGGGGGCACAGTATTTCCCAACGGAGCGAGACTGGACATGAAAATTCAACTCGTCGCAAGTCTCTAAGCGGACATAAACTTGACAAAAATTAAAAAAGGCGGAACGAAATTTAAGAAAACCGTTCTAAATTCGCCCCGTTGCCATTCCCGCTTCTACTCTTATTGGAGTCCTTTGGCGGCTGTTTAATTGACCTGTCCCTGTCAAGGCCTGCTGGATCCAATTTGAGACCAAAAGCAAAGTCACTCTATTAGGCCGTCTCACAATAGCTATATTAATATAATAGTAATAATATTTATTTAAAATTTTTTCTAACTGTTACAATAATCTCAAGGAAATATAAAAATACTATTTACAATTTTAGGTTAAGAGACGATGAATTAATTGTGCTTGCAATTGATGTGTCTGGGAGAGTCAATGCTATGTTGAACAAGTATTAATGCGAAGGAAGAAGTAAAGAGAAGATAAAACTTTTCAATTAAAAGAAACTTGTATTGAGGAATGGAAGTGTAGTTGTATTTATTTGGTAACTAATACAATAAACGAGTATAATTAATATATATATATAAGTAATATAATGAGATCATTGTTGTGGCCCTCTTTTGGAGGCCTTAGGTGGCTGCCTTAATTGTTTTAAAGGTTGAACCGTTTTGGCTTACACTACATAGTCACAAAGGACGGTAGTTAAGTGGTACTTTCTCGCATTCCAAAATAAAATTTGAATGTTCAAATTCTTGCACTCCATTAATTTAATACTCTAAATTCTAGAGGTTCTTTCAGATCTCCAATTTAACATCTATCCCTTCTCTAATTTCATCAATTAAAATAATATCATCTGAAATTGATATCAATTACATGGTTATTAAATGTGTGTTATAAATTACTAAATCACCTATTAGATGAATTGCACAACTACTTCCTAAAACATAAGAATCTGCATGTTATTCTAAACCAAGGGTAATATGAGAGGGGTTTGTTTAAAAAAAAATCTATTCTTAAAGATTAAATTTGAACTTTAAAAAAGTTTTCAATCTTTTGACGGTTGTCTTCCAAAATTTTTCTATTTCAAGATAATTATATGTTAAAATGTTTAGTTTATGGAGTTTATATGCAATTTATTTTATAATAGAGAGTTCTGTGTAACTGAAGATGCAAGAAATTCATTCCCTCTTTCTCTCTCTAGAATTCTTACACTTCAACCAAAAAGATCCTCCCATATTTTCCATTCCTTCCCTTATTTATAGATATTTACAAGATATTTACAAATATTGACTGATTGCTGGATCTGGGCCTGTTCCTCCATAAGTCCTGGTCACTTTTGATGGGCTTACTCGCGTTCGGCCCATATGGCAGTGTCTTTATATGGGCTGACCCAGCTGTACGGACCGGATGTAGTGCTTGCAAGTC